TGCAGATTCCGAGGCTGAATGTGTCTGGTCTTTTGTAGAACTCCTGGAACTGACTGAGGAGAGGAGAGTTGAATCTTATTGAAGCAGCCCATCCTTTGGCTGAGTCAAGGACATCTGCGTAGCTGAATCCTCCAACAAACACAATCCCACGGAACTGATCAAGAGTGATTGATCCAGCTAGAAGGTCAGACACTGTCACGTCCCATGGTTCAAAACCTGCAGCGTAAAATGCTGCTGACATTTCCCTGTCTCCATTGCTGCCTTCCTCTCGGATCACAGCTACTTTCGGTTTAACATCTGAGAACATACACACAAAACAAACTCTCATCAGGAAATATAGACTAAATGAGATAAAAAAGTTTCACAGAGGTCAATCTTACCCTTAGACATATAATTATCATTGGTCCATGAAGGGGTAAATGAGAGCTTCCAGTTAGGCTCATGCCTCAACTTCAAACCTTCTTTCTCCATGTCAACACAAGACGCTAATCGCTGCAGCTTTTCCAACTGGAAACTGGTGTCTTCCCACATGTCTCTGAGGAATGATGTTTCCTCACTCAAATGAGTGATTCCATCCACTTTCACCTCAATCAAAGGTGACTCAGTGACTTTCCCAATGATCTCAGCAGTAACATTAAAACCACGGAGCTTCTCCAACACAGTGTCTAAGTTCTTGTTGCTAATCTCCATAACGAGACCAAGCTCTTCAGAAAACAAAGTCTCAAATAGGCTTATCCCGTTTGAATCCAAGTTAAGGCTTATACCTCTGTTTCCAGCAAAGGCCATTTCCATAGCTGCTACAACTAGTCCACCATCGCTGATGTCATGTCCAGCAGATACCAAGTCCTCTGAGATGAGAGCTTGAACCCCCTCGAAAACGTTTTTCAGATACGGAACATCATCAACATCAGGACAGTCGTTTCCTATCTGTCCAAAAACCTGAGCTAGTGCAGATCCACCTAACCTCCGCTTTCCCTTTGCCAAATCAACATGCAAGAGAACACCATCATCTCCCAGCTTCAGATCAGGAGTCACTGTCTTTGTTATGTCTGGACAGGTAACATAGGCGCTGATCACAAGATTTCCTGGAGCTTTAACAACTTCACCATCCGCATGAGCTGCCATTGAAAGACTGTCTTTCCCACCATCAATGGCAATGCCAAGTTCGATCATGGCTTCAGATAGAGCAATTGCAGCATCATACATCGCTGATCCTTCTCCTTCAAGCTTGGCAGCATACATCCAGTTACCACTAGCTTTAACATCAGAGAGTGCAGTAACCTTTGCCCAAACCAGATTTGTCAAAGCCTCTCCAACGGCTAGTCTAGCCATCGCTTTTGGATCAAGCAGACCTTTAATCGGTTGCTCTCCAATGGCACATGCACCACCTGTTAGATCAGTGAATGTCTGTGCGATGACTGCAACATCAGCAAGAGTGATCTGCAGAGGTCCAACTGTTTGCTGCTGTGCAACAAGACCTGTCACACATCTATCCACTTTGGTTGTCAAGAACCGCTTGGAAGAAACCGAAGGCAATCTCAGAACCCTTTTCAAAGAGTCCATCAATGTAATCCCAGGAGCAATATCAAGTGGTTCCCGTGCATAAGTAACACGGTTGAACTCAAACGTTTTCTTAGGCATGTCACCAAGAACCATCTCGAGTTCAAGATCCACAGCAGGAGGAGGTGGAGGTAAACCTTCTTTCTTGCACTTAGCTGCAGCTGTGCTGTCAATTAAAGTACAGCGACCTTCCCCATTAACTGTCCCAAGTACAGCCATTGAAAGCCTCTCCCTCTTACATATCGATTCCAAAACCTCTCGGCTCTCAGCTTTCACTAAAATAGCATCTTGCTCTTGATACTCAGCTCCCCATATCTCCAGCACCGACATAGTATGATCACCGACAACAACAGCTCTTATATCAATCTCTGCACCCTTTGGATAAATAATCTCTTTAACAACATTACAGTTCCCACCAGCGCCTTGGTCATGAATACTGATAATAGGATTCTTCTCCCCCATCTCAATGCAAGCCCGGACAACACGGTACAGCTTCTGAGACATCTCAGCGTCTCCACGCTGGACAGCATTGAAATCAAGCTCTGCATCATTCTGACCACTAACCATACTCGAAGCAGCACCTCCTCCCATACCAATACGGTATGCAGGTCCACCAATCTTAACAACAAGCATCCCAACTTCAGGCTCCCCTTTAGTTATATGAGTATGATCAATCTGTCCAATACCTGCACTAAACATAATAGGTTTCAACCATTCTCTTCTATCCCCACTCGGCAGTCTCATCCCAAAAGTCCTGGTATATCCTTGAATCATAGGCTCTCCAAACTTGTTCCCATAATCAGATGCACCATTGCTAGCGTCTACGAGTATTTGTAAAGGTGAGGCAAGGTTTGATGGGTACTGGAAAGAAGAGTCTTCCCAAGGAGCATAAGATCCCTCCATGTTAAGGTTCCCAACACAGTAACCAGAAGTGGATGCAACCACAAAGGAACCTCTTCCAGTTGCATGTGTGTCCCTAATTCTCCCTCCAGCACCTGTCTCAGCGCCAGGATAAGGTGCCACCGCACAAGGGAAGTTATGGGTCTCAGCAGTGAACAATATGTCGAGATCACGTGCACTGAGATCAAGTAAGCAAGTGGAACCAGGAAGTAGAGGCCGTAGCTGGTTCACCATAAAGCCTCTTATAGCACTGGAGTTATCCTTAAACCCAATGACAGAGTTATTTCGATTTGCCTGCATATTTAAACACATAAGATTAAGAGTTTAAACATAAAAAAAAAAAAAAATTAAAGTTCACCATTTATGGTTTTACCTCCCAAGTGCTCTTTACAATCTGCATAAGAGACCTATCCATTGGCTTTCCATCAATAACAATGTTCCCAGCAAAGAACCAATGTCTACTATGCTCACTGTTGGACTGAGCTATATCAAACAGCTCAACATTGGTGGGGTTACGCTTAATATCCTCTTTGAAAAGTTTAGTATAATACTGCAAATCTTGCTCATCAAAGGCTAAACCCATCTTCTGGTTGATTTCTTCCAAAGCCTCTCTACCTTTCTCCATCACAGGCACATACTTTACTTCCTCAGGAACCACATTTGTCTCGAATGAAGTCAGCCTCTGGGTGTACACACACTCGGTCATTCTATCATGAACCATTGCAGCAAACTCGTTTACTTGATTCTCCAAGAGTGGCTCATTGCTGAACAAGAGGTACCTCCTAGACCTTTCTAAGCGAGTCACTTCGTTTAAACCACAAGCTCTGCAGATTGAAACAGCATTGGTGGACCATGCTGTTGTGAAAGATAGTCTAGGACCAACTTCAATAATTGTAGCATGAAGTCCTTCCTGCTTCTTCCTCTCAAGAAAACTATCAATGCCTGAAACAGAGAGGCACAAAAGGTTTTGTTACCATTGCAAGAAAATAAAATATTTGGCATGAGGATTTTAAAGTACCTAGATTCTCTGGCTCAAATGTTTCTTGAAGAATCCACTTCAGAACAGAAAGCTTTTCTTCTGCTAACTCTGATTCATCAAGACCAATGTTGAAACACTGTTCTGTCGTCAAACTAACAACCTGGTTGCTGATTTTGGTCTGAACGGCCTTGAGGAGCTCAGCGTTTGCGCTTTCTTGAATCAAAGGGACGCGGTAGAAATGGATAACCTCTGCAGCAGGTTTCTCAACCAAGCTCGGCTGCTCAACAACAGAAGCAAGCGAGCCAGTAGAACATCTCAAGCTAGCAGCTCTGGCTCTATTCAAAGACAGACGTTGTGAGGTTCGAAATCTAACGGAACCCCACAACTGACTTGTTGAGCTTCGCCGCAACAGCGTCGTTTGTCTATTGGAACCCTGCAAGAACCATAACTTGTTTAAACGAAAATGGCATAAACAATGGAATCTTCTACTAAAAAAAACATCAAAGATGCTAATAAAGAGCTTATATGACTGTATTATTTGATGGAAAACATGGATCAATGGTGAAAGAATGAGAAAGAGAATATTTACGTTTAGAAACAGAGCTGCACGAGTTGTTGCTTGGGATGTATACATCATCGTGAGGAAGATGAACAAGGAACAAGGGGGGGAGGTAGGGGGTTTAGGGTTTTTCTCTCTGGCTCTATCTGCTATTGTATTTAACGAGACCGAAGGTCTGACTCTGAGGACACCACAGTCCTTGTTGTTGTCGGCTCTACTCAACGCGACTATTTAGGTATTTTTAATGTTGTACTATTTATATTTGTTTCGAGGAAAAAAAACAAAAGATGATTGCTATTCAAAGTTGGGTTAGGTAGGCCCAAATATCTAATGAGCCTTGGGGTATATATCTTGGCAATGCTCATCACTGCAGCTTACGATATGGTCTCAAATTGTAATTGTTTTAGTGGTCAGTAGGCGGGTTGATTCAGATTTTTGGATTTTGGATATGAGACTCAAAAATTTCATTTGGATTTTATTAGTTACGAGTCAGATTCGGTTTCGTTTCTTCTGGATTCGGTATGGATCGGATTATATCTAATATATAAAACCAATCAAAAATATTTTAGAGAAACTTTTTTTAAAAATTGACAAAAAATACTTAAATGTATAAATTATTCATAAATCCTCTACTAAAACAAGTTAACCCACCTGAACTAACTAACATTTAATCAAAATAACAAAAAAAAATATACAAATCTTTAAAATACTTTAAAACATCTAAATTATCTTAATATATATAGAAAATATATTTCATTGGCTTATGATATAATCGAATCTAAGTTTAAATCAGGTTGTATCCAAACTTAAAAATACCAAATTTTCAAACTCCATTTGAACATCTTTGTATAATGGTTTGGATTGATTTTTACTTTCGATTCGAGTTAAGATAGAAAATTTGGTTTGAGATAAAAACATTCAGACCTAGTGGGCAGCTAGAAAATAGTTGCACACCATTACTGAAAATATTAGCTTTGGATTAATTTCATGAAATTTTTAGTTTCAGGAAACAGTGTCAGTGCAGCTGTCAGGACTTGATATGAAGTTTACGAATTTTACCAGCAAAACAGGTATGATGAACGCGTAGCCGTTTGAAACTGAATATCAAAATCAGTTAAACATGGACTAATCACAGGAATCAGACAAGAGACATTCAAGCTCAGTTATATGGAGAAAACACATTCTAATATGGGATTCAAAACCAGATCAATGATCAAAGTCTATTTAGATAAATCTCCAAAACACTTCAAACAAAGAAAGGAAAATGCTTTCAATATCAGAATACAAAAACAAACGAACTAGTGGACAAAAACCACAGCTAAAAATCAAAGTTTACTTCATATGTTACTCGGATACATGAAGACTCTGACCCTCATTCCCTGCAAGACAAAGAGAAAAAAGGATCTCTACTTTAACAAAACCACAAGCAGAAGATTTAACATTTTATCGATTTGAATAGTTAAAGAATCTGATCAAGTACCATGGACTTAGGAGGCAAGTTGGATGTGAATTTGGCACGGACAACACCGCTGTTACCATGAGGCCTTGTAACTTTCCCCCAGATGCAGCGGTAGTGGCTACCGTTCTTCTTGGTCTTGGCCTTGTAGATGTAAGCCATCCTCTTTCCCTTGTACCATGTCACCTCCTCTGTAGTGTTGACTCCTTCAATCTGGATTAGGGATGTGTTTGGGTACTGGTTGGACTTGGACCTACACAAATCAAGAAAAATGTCAAGAGACCAAAAGGACAGCATCAAAATGTTCGGTCTAGGTCCAACATGAAAAAGCTGTTTTAGCAGAAAACAACTTAACAAGAGATTGAGGTTAAGCTAGTCCGATGGTCTAAGAAAGATGCATACAACTAACTACATAGATATACACTCAAAAGTACAAGCGGATATACTAAGAACAGAGTCTTATTATATGTTGAGATTGAGAATGCGTTTCTAACAGCTTCTACATAAACTAGTCATAATGATTCATTACATCAAATAAAAACTAGAGCTATATCAAGAACCAGTAAGCAGTATACAAAGAATAACACTATGATTCTATACATAAATAAAGTTTTAATTTGTTTAAGTATCAAGAAAAGAGTTTGATTATAATGATAATCTATCAGATTCAGTCACATAAACTACTCAGCATGGCGCATAACATTAATGTAGCTAAATCAAGAACCAGTAAGCTGTATACAATGAATTAGCATACAGATCAAAAGAAAATGTGTTACCTTTTGTATCCCAAGATGGTTCCCCTAACGTAGAGTCTGCAATACAATCGATAAAGACAAAGCAAGTGAGTAAAACAAAAGGCAAAGGAACAAAACTCAAGTGCTACTAAAAATAAGATTTGAAACTCGATGAAGAATAAGCGGAGAAGAAAGACCTGACTTGTTCTCCTTGGCGTCCCTTCACCATTTTTCGTGTCGGCTGTTACACGCAAGACTCTGCTGCTAGCGATTCAAAGCGGAGAAGCCAAACACTAAAACATAACCACGAGTTTATAACGTGTTGCCCTAATTCTCATCCTTAGATTCGATTGAGAATGGGCTTACGGGCCTCAAAACTTGGCCCATTTGTGTTTAAAATGTGTTTCGTTTCCTTGTCTATTTGTGTTGTCGTCTACTTCTCTTTCCTACTTGCTCCTCTCTCGTGTCATCTTCCAACATGCTTGATTCTCTAATACATTGTAGCCACCAAGTTCGCAGAGTTAGTTAACAAACCATTTTAAATCTTACCAACGAAAACAGGAACGGAAAAGTCCGTAGAAACCAATAAATATCACGGTGGCACACAGTATATTTCTTGTCGGAAAAGTAGCGGAAGGTTGGGTTTGAGCTACTTCTGACGTCATAACAACTACACTATGTTGAACAAGGACATGTTAGCGCATGTGACGCCGCAACGTAACATTACTTCCAAGCTTCTGGTGGTGACAACTTGTTTCCACCTTGCTGAAAGTTTAGTTGATGACATTGTTAACACACTCTTAAACAACAACGCTAAGAATTAGCAAGGTTCCAAAGAAAAACGCCCGAAGATATTATGGCCACAATGGATCTATGTAAATAGATTTTTATTTTATTTCGTAATAAAGGTAGATTTTACAGCTTCGCCATTTTTATACAATCCAAAAACCAAAACAGAGCACAGACTCTCTTCCCACTCTAAAAACAGAAACTGAAGAACATAGGAGACACTCAAAAGGTCAAAGACCTTTAGTCCTCAACCATTTCCGCATCATCATCTTCAATTTCCTCAATCCTCATTTTCTTCACCGCTTGAGCTGCATCACTTTTCTTTGGCCCATTAGCAATATGAATCAACACATCCGACTTCTCCCCTGTTGTGGCGTTCACTAACCCTCCATTCTTCTCAACACGGTACACAAGATCAGAGCCACCACTGCCTGCATCTATGTAAACAGTGGAGTTCTCATCGATTTCCTCACGCACAACCATCTTTGACAGCTCTGTCACCACCTTCTTTTCCATCCATCTCCTTATTGGCCTAGCACCATACACCTAAACCATACAACAACACATCATAGTCAGCCAACACATACCAAAGGGAGAGATAAATGCATGATAAGGAACATTATAGTAGGTTTAAGAGACTTACCGGGTCATAACTCTCAGCTAAAATGTAGTCTAAAGCAGCATCGGTCACTGCCAACGCAACGCCTCTCTCAGCAAGACGGACAGCAACCTCCTTCATTTGGAGGCGTGCTACTTTCCTCAGCTGGTCATGTGAAAGGGGATCGAACACCACAATCTCGTCAAGCCTGTTCAGGAGCTCTGGTCTGAAGTGTCTTCTCACCTCCTGCATCACACATTCCCGGGCCACTTGCATCGTCACTTTCCCAGTTAGCCCTGAGAGAAGATGCTCTGCGCCAAGGTTTGATGTCATGATTATCACCGAGTTCCTGAAATCAACCGTCCTTCCTTGGCCGTCTGTCAATCTACCATCATCCAACACTTGAAGCAGCGTGTTGAAGACAGCAACATGGGCTTTCTCCACTTCATCAAAGAGTATCACGCAATAAGGTCGCCTCCTCACAGCCTCAGTTAATTGTCCTCCTTCCTCGTGACCAACATAGCTGAGAAAAAAAATTGCAACAATGTAAGAAAACAAACTTCAAGGAGAAACATCTAGTTTTGAAAAGTAAAGGATCAGTCACTTACCCAGGTGGTGCACCAATGAGACGAGAGACAGAGTGCTGTTCCATATATTCCGACATATCAATTCGAACTAAGAGATTTTCGTCATCAAAGAGCTGCTCAGCAAGAGCCTTAGCAAGCTCAGTTTTGCCAACACCAGTTGGGCCAAGGAACAAGAATGATCCGGTTGGTTGTTGTGGCCTTCCAAGTCCTGCTCTTGACCTTAAGATTGCCTCAGCAACTGCGTTCACAGCTTGATCTTGTCCAACAACCCTCTTGTGTAACCTATCAGCAAGACCAATCAACCTGTCCTTCTCGTTCTGGCCAAGTCTTGTCACTGGAATCCCAGTCCAACGGCTCACAACTTCAGCAATGTGTTCTGGCCCAACGTTTTCAGTGAGCATCATATTCTCATCGGAAGTTCCTTCAAGTTGGGTAATTGCTGATTCGACTTCTTGGATTGCTCCATATCTTAGGTCAGCAGCTCTTGCAAGGTCATATCTGCGTTCTGCTTCTTGCAAAGCAAACATGAGCTCTTCTCTTTTCTGTTTAAGCCGGCGAATCTCATCAATTCTCTCTTTCTCCTTTCTGTACTTCATCGTGAGAGGCTGTAGCTTGTCCCTCAAGTCATCAAGCTCCTTCCGCACCTACAGATACATTATTCAAGATAACAACATCAGAGACTTGTCCCAAATGAAGATGCTAACAAACAAAGATTCCAAAGCAAACCTAGTTATCTAAGATTTAGAACCGCAAGTAAGAAAAAAACAGTCTCATACCTCAACAAGACGAGCTTTGCTGGCTTTGTCTTTCTCCCTTTCCAAGGCATGAAGTTCAATTTCCAGCTGCATCCTCTTCCTTTCAAGGTTATCAATCTCTTCAGGTTGACTATCAAGTTGAACTCTCACATTGGCACAAGCCTCATCCACCAAATCAATAGCTTTATCAGGTAAATGCCGACCTAATCATTCACACAAAGAACCACGTCATACCAAGAACAAGACTATACAAACCACAACTTTAACCAAAGACTAAAAAATCTCAACATACCAGTGATGTAACGAGCAGAAAGCTGAGCAGCATTAATCAAAGCCCTATCCTGGATCCGAACACCATGATGTCCCTCATACCTCTCCTTAAGCCCTCTAAGAATACTAACAGTATCAACCACACTCGGCTCCGCCACATAAACCTGCTGAAACCGTCTCTCAAACGCAGCATCTTTCTCAACATACTTCCTATACTCCTCAAGCGTGGTAGCACCAATACACCGAAGCTGACCTCTAGCCAACATAGGCTTAAACAAATTCGCCGCATCCATCGACCCTTCACCCTTCCCCGCCCCAAGCACCAAATGAATCTCATCAATAAACAAAATCACCTTCCCTTCAGCCTCCTCAACTTCTTTCAAAACAGCTTTCAACCTCTCCTCAAACTCCCCTCTATACTTCGCACCAGCAACAAGCGCACCCATATCCAACGAAACCAACCTCACATCCCTCAAACTATTCGGAACATCTCCCTTCACTATCCTCTGCGCTAAACCTTCAACGACAGCTGTCTTCCCAACACCAGGCTCACCAATAAGGACAGGATTGTTCTTAGTCCTCCTCGAGAGGATCCTAACAACTCTTCTAATCTCTTCGTCACGACCAATCACTGGATCAAGCTTCCCCGCCTCCTCAACCAAATCTCTCCCATAAGTCTTCAACGCTTGGAAATTCGTATCACCAGAAGCACTCTCCACTCTCTTCCCTTCTTTCCCACGCAACTTCTCAACCTCAGACTTAACCTTCCCCGCCGCAACGCCGACTTCGCTCAACAACTCACGTATCTGAGAATCCTCAAGAAGACCGATGATGATCTGATCAACGGCCAAATGAGTGTCCCCGCGTGACTTCTGAGCGGATTGCGCTCTGCGTAGGACCTTGATGAGGCTCGAGCTCGCGGGGACATCGTCCGGCGGCGGGGACTGAGAGGGGAGCTTCTTCAAGGCTTGGCTGATCACTCTCTCGGCGGATTGTGATGCGGTCTCGTTGCCGCCGGCGCTGGAGATCGCTTGAGGGAATATTCCGGCGGGGTCGGAGATCAAGGCTCCGGCGAGGTGGAGTGGAGTGATTTGAGCGTGGCCGGAGGTTACGGCTAGCTCGTGAGCTGCGGCGATTGTTTCGTTTGTCTTGTGTGTGAATTTCTCCGGATTCATCTTTTTGGATTTTTCTTTAATGGATTATGAGACTTCTTTCTTCTTAGTAACGAGATCGCTGTAGATTGCTTTGTTTCGGGTGTTTGTGATTTGCGAGAGGGGAAGGAAGGAGGAGAGGTTTTTTAAAGGGAAGGAGATGAATCTCGAAAGATGGAGATTCTTGGAGCTGGAAGATACTAGAGAATTCATCAGTAGAGAAAGAGAGGTTTCACTTCTTCTTTTCTTTTTTTTTGCTATATGAGACAGGTGGATGCCACGTGGAATCTGTTTTTATGGGTGCTATTCTGGAATTGTTTTTTTTATTTAATCTTCTAAAACTATATGCTATAGAAAAGGAACCTTCTATAAATTAAAGGAGTTAAATGCAAATTACAGAAGTTTTAGTAATTATTATCTATTATTTAACAAATAGCTCTTCATTTCTTCAACCATTTTCTTTCCCAACCGTTCTGTGTCATATGAAAAAGAAGAATGATTTTTGGGACCTTATT